TTCTGCAGTTTGATAGAAATGTTTGAATCTGCAATGATCACCTTCACTTGTGTACACATACAAGTTATAGCCAGGAGCCAAAAAGGGACTTCAGTTTTCATTTTTTTAATGGATCCGCTGAGCAATGACAACAAAATAAACTCCTTCTTATCACTTTTTTCTTTTTTTAGGTACATGACATCAGTTAACCTATGAACTCTTTCAGTAAGGTTACTAGCAAGTAAATTATTGAGAAAAAAAATTTTAGATCATTTGGAGGCATTCAAATTTGGATGAAATTAATGGATCTCAGCCCAAAACTATCATTTACTGAGTTCAAGGAGTTTTACAGAGAATATTGCTCTTCTTTCAGAACAAATCTACAAGCTCGTTATTATTCCTATTTCACAAAATAAGAAACTAAGGCTCTGAGAAGGTGAGAGCAGGTATTCTCAGTGTCTCGCATTTAGAAAGGGGCTCAGTAGGGAGTTATTCAAACCCATGACTCAAACTGAATCCTTGTTCTTTCAACTCTGCCATGTCAGTTTCTCCATGACTAGGGATGAGGCAGACAAAAACAATAGATAGCCATTAAATTCTGATTTCAGATTATAGTATTTTCTACAAATATGAAAACATCAAAGTATCAGAACACTCTTTGTATAATTTTCTAATTGTAATGAATCTGTTACTCAGAATTTTGTTAGGCAAATAGAGCCTAGATTTTAAAAACTTCAATTAAGATACACAAATTTTTCAAATATCCTACCTCACAAATATATTTTATATATTTGTCGTTATTTACATGCTAGTTATACTGACACTTTCAAGGCTTTTTTTTTAATGGTTTATCCATGTCAGAGAATTAATTATATTTAATATCAAGAGAGGCTAAACATGGTGTGGGAATGGAGTCAATGGGATTGTAATAGATATGTATGCTATAGGGGGGGCAGTGGGGCGGCAGGTTGGGGGAGGAGGGTTGTCATTTTGAGGGGTAAAAAGTATAACTAGTGCACTGTGTTGCACACCTGAAACTAATTTTTAAAAATAAATTAAAAAAACACAAAAAGTGAGGCTAAACATGTATTTTTTATGTCCTTTCACTTTTTCATAGGCATGTATCAATATAATTTCCTTTCCCAAAATAATGAAACCATTTTTACTTTTTTGCTACTTGAATCCCAGCTTCCCTTTATTTTTTCTTTGCTCACTGTTTGCTCAATTTCTTGGACTATCCACTACATCAGTAGCCTTCTGCCCCTTTTCTGTCATCCTTCCAGTTCTCTTTTCTTCCTGCCATTCTGCTCTCTAAACTTCTGAAGTCTTCAAAGCCACCTGCATTGTTTGAACACCCAGTAGTTCTCCAACAAGAACCCTAAGGAAGCCTTGCCCTTGAGTTGGTCTCCTGGACTACCTTCACTGACAGGCTGACATTAGCAAGCCCCAAACGTGTCAGAGTGGCAGGGTTCTAGGCAACTCTCATTTATAAGAATAAAATAGAAATAAATAAATGAGTTACTAAATTCACCCTTGATGTAAAATCCCCAGCTGTTTCCCCATATGTGTTCCCAAGTAAATGATTTCCAAACAAATAGCGTAATAAGTGATTTATGCATCTTCAGTCAGGTCTTTAGGGTTATTTTTATTGTTATGGCTATACTCCAGAGAGTCACAGTGAACAAATCTATCCAACGTGGATGATAAATAAAACTTATCCTAGACATCCCCAAGATGATTGGAGTTTTTATGTGCTCAGTTTCCTTAAAATAAAGGCTATAATTAAAGAAGTTCCGTGAGATTAAAGACTGGGATTTTTTTTTGAGGGGGGGAGGTACTAATGTATTGACAGTGCTTTGCACAATAGTAGGTTCTCAAATATTTTTTTTAAATAATTGGGTGAAATAAATAGTACTTTGATGCCCCTACTTAAGAAAGTAATCTACTTTCCTCAATGTTTTAGAACTCATAATATGTGCTTGTTTTTTGTTTTGTTTTGTTTTCATATGCCATCATGACAGTTTATCGAAAGTTTGACAATACATTGTATGTCTCCGGAGAATCCCAGAACAGGAAGGGACCCTATAATACCTTACAGATGAGAAGGATCCTAACGAGTTAAAGTAATTCACAGAGATATAGAAATGTTTAGTTTGTCCAAGGCACAATGAATGAGAACCAGGTCTCGTGAATTCCGGAATTATTTTCTATTTCATCAGTTCAGTTTACCTTTATTATTAAAATGGTATAAAGCATTATAATCTTTATAGCCAACATCAATGTATATAAAAACAACTTTTAAAATACCAAAAACCTGCATTTGAGTATTCCATTGATCCAGTAACTAGTTTAATTATTTGGCAATATCCTAGTATTTATTAAATTCATTTCCATTTTCCTACTTGCAAATTATTCTGAATGATGATCAAATCAGTGACTGAGACAGCATTCCATGATGAGACCACTAAGAGGGGAGCGTCCACAGCAAGCAAGTATAGTTTCCCTTGAAGTACGAGTATACCGGGACGGGGTGCAAGAAAGCTCCGAAAGCTCAAAACAACTAGGAATCCCCTCTTATAGTGCTCTGGTAATAGTGATTCTCAGAGACTTTTTTTTAAAGTCATTTGGCTGTAATAAAAGGGAATAGACAGCACATAATCTGTCTCTGCTAGTGTTCTCAGAGTTTAGACTCCTGACAATGTAGGAGAATGAATGTACTAGAACTTTTTAAAGCAATGTTCTAGTTTGCCAAATAAAAGAAAATGGGGGTGGGGACCATAGAAACAAGTCACTGCTCTGAAATATAACCCGTTTTCGTTGTGTTACTATGTCTATTGGTGATATGGTTAGCCAATGAGAATTTATTTATACAAGCCTTGTGATGTTGACAATGTTTATACTATATTCACCTGTATGTTCTCAGCATTCCAGCCAACAGACTTTTTTTCAAAATAGAAATGAATTACAGCAAGAGAAGTACAATATACATACATGTAGCTGTTGTATATATTAGATCACCGTAATTATCTTCAAATTTCTTATTCTGAAAACCATTACCTGGGTACGTGCTTATTATCCAGCAAAAAGCCAGTCATTTAAATTTGACTTGTTAAGGTAAAAATCACAAAGTATTTCCTCCCTCTTATTCTGGTAGTAAATACCTGAGTTCTGTTTATTTTATCTACTCCTCGTGTAAGTTATTGAGAAAAGTCTTAAGTTAAATTGGCATTACCGGAGGTACTGTCATTAATTTTTAGAAATTTGTAAACTCTCATTCTTAAGCAAAAAGAAAACTCCAAAATTATAGAAACAATTCCCCCCCAAACTAATCATTATCTTAAGTAAAATCATTGTATTCAGATATGAATCTATTGTACTGAAGAATTAGTATGTTGCACAAATGTTGCTTTAGTTACTGACACAAAATTACAGATGCACAGGATTACTGGACTCCTTTAATAAAGGCTTTTGTTCAACCACTTGCAACATCAAGTTGTTCCTAAAATTATGCTCCCTGGGAAATACCTGCAGTAAAGAATAGCAAACAGTAGCCAACCCATTCTGAATTTTGTTTCCTAGGTTATCAATGAAAGAAGTGGCAGAAAGGAAAATCGAAGGGAAAGTGTACAAGAAAAAAAGGAAGATGACCAAAAAGTAGCTTCATTGCTAAAAGAAACGGTCATTCTCCATTAATGGATGGGCCACCAGGATATTTGTAGGACTGCCTGGTACCAGTACCCAGTCCCTCAGGATCCCTGGCCTTCTCAGGTCCCTCCTACCATCAAGTGCAAGAGTACTTTCAAAAGGGAGACTCAAGAGTAGTTAGACAAGATCAATGTTCCGATTCACTTTGGAAACTTCAAAGAAGTAGAAGTCTCAGGGGAGGATAGATAAAAGTGCTGTCAAGAGTTGAAGTCATTGTATCCAAGGTCAGGGTGAGAATAAAAGGTAGATGAAGGTTTGACACTACATCTCCTTTCGATTCTGTCTACAGTGGTGTGGATTCCTTCGAAACAGAAGTCGTACAGATAGAGAAAGACAGGAACAGAGGTCTGGCGTTCCTGCAAATGGTAAAAGTCAAGGGTAGCCTGAGCAGGAACCAGCAGAAGTGTTCTGGAAGGATGCCTAGAAGCAGGGGGAGTGTGGAGTATACCTGGAACTGCTAATACAGGCATCCTGGAATGAGCACAGGTTTAGAGGGCTAGGAAGGCATTTATTCATTCAACGGATATTTATCAAGGTCCTAATATAAAGAAGGGATGAAAAAAATGAGGGGGTAAGCACTGAAGAATTCAGGGAAAAGAGGGTGAAGATCTCCGGTATGGGTGCAAGAAATACCAGAGGTTTAGAAAACTAGACACCAGGGTGGCCCAGAGAAGGCTGGGCCAATAGGTGCCCGGTGAATAGGAAAAAAGGCTGTGGGGTAGAGAGAGTACAAGAGATTAGACGTTTCTTCATCAGAAGGCAACTCCAAAGGATCTGACAGCCACTTCCTGGAGATTGGAGAAAAGGATGCAACACAGAATGCAGATGGCCTGTGGAATTCAAAGATGTCACAGGAGGTCACGCCAAGACCAAGAGAGTGTGGGAAAAAAGAGAGGAAGAGTTTCCTGGAAGGGGTAGGGGCCCCTTTGGGAAAACAGAGATGAAAGACGTGGAAATGGACGCTGAGGAACACAGTGCCTGGGAAAGTTTGGGGGAAAGAAAACAGGTGGGTGTGAAAAGCACCGGGGCCCTCCGGGTGAAGTAGGGTGCAAGGCTTGAGGTGGGCTGACAGGCCCCCGAATCGGGAGCCCCCGCAAGCGCGAAGTCTCACTCCTTTCGCGCTCTCACGCCCCCTCCCTCCAGAGCCCAGGGTGGGGGTCTCGCCCGGGGCCACGCGGAGCGCGAGAGGCGCGGGGCGAGGCCCGGCCGCCCCCCAGCGGACGGGCGGTGTGCGCACGCCCGGCTTGCCCGGCGCCAACTTTCCCGATTCCCGCGGTCTCTCCCGACGCGCTGGCCCCCCTCCCGCCCCTGCTCACCGAGGGTGCCGTCAGGCGGCTGATGCTCTCGCCCAGCGAGTCCAGGTTGACCCGCCTCCGGCGCTGCGCCCTCCTGGCCCCGGCGGTGGCGGTGGCGGCGGCGGCCGA